TATGAAAGAGGTTTAAAAATCCTTTTAAAAATATACTGTTTTACACTGTTTTGATAAGCTCTATCCAACCACACATAAGCCATCGAGAAAAAAAAGTTGCTCAAATTTTGCGTTGGGCACACCTTACCTAAGATCTTGTTAAGTTATGAGGTACAGAAATGTCAGTAGATCTTGAAAATTTGTTCCTAAGATCTTCAAATCCTGGACAACATCTTACGGTAATCACATTTTTTTAGAAATTACTGGTGTCTTCTAGCAGCTAACTATGTGAGAGATTGTTCGTAGGATCATTGAGGTGCCGAAAAAGACGATTATTGTAAAGATCTTTCGAGTTGATCTTGGTCGCAACCTGACCAAGTTCGCTTGTGACAAAGAATAATCTTCAAATTCATGATCAGCATCAAAAGTTACATTCGACAGACTATTTAAGACAAACTCATTGTCATTCTTAAACGGTTTGTTTCGATTACTTTTGACCATATGTATTTTTCATGAGTGAAGATTATAACTATAAAATCTGTACCCAAGATCTAATTACAGATCTTGTTGCACGATAATGTGAATTTCGTGCACCTAAACTCTCAAGATCTACTAATTTTTCTGTACTTTGGATCTTGCCAAGATCTTGCTTATAAGACGTTCGTTTAGCAATATCGAATCAATTTTCCATTGTTGTGTAATGGAGCAATTAATTTAAAACCTATCCTCATTGATGGCTCTTATGAAACAGACGAGACAAGATGTGAACATTGGCAATGTAATAATACATATACTAGATGTGATGGATTTTTGTTATGCGAAGATGGAGCCGATGAGATCAACTGTCCAGATTCATATTGCCCGCCGTTTCATCACCCGTGCATCTTTTTCAACGATACATCTGTATTATCATGCTTACCAATTAATAGAGCTGGTGATGGAATTATCGATTGTGTAGGAGCCTCAGATGAACCAAAACGTTGTCGAATGAGTGACGAGTACAAGGTTTATGAAAGGTTTAACTGTTTCAATGATACGCAATGTATTGATACGCGTTACCTGTGTAATGGAAATCAAAACTGTAAATTTAATGATGATGAAACCATTTGTAAAAACCATACTGGTTTTTGGCAAACGCTTTGTTCCTTCTCTTCGTCAACTGGCATAGAAAGAGACGATTTTCTGTGTCATTTAGGTAGGTGGTATCCAAAGTTGGCTCGAACAAATTTCTTAATACGTAATATGCCAATCTACCCACTATTATTACAGACTACAACAACAACTACTACTACATTTACGGAATCAGTTGAGTCACAAGTAAATCCTATGGAAAACAATGCGATGATTAATATTCAAAATAATAATGATCCTTGGTTATGTAATCAAGGTGTTCCAATTCAGATTGGTATCGATCGAAATCAATTCAAACGAATTTGCCTTTGTCCACCGAGTTATTATGGTGATGAATGTCAATATGAAAATCAACGCGTCAGTCTTACACTACAAATCCAAGCAACATCAGGTAGACGCAATGTCTTTGTATTCATTATAATTCTAGTTGATAATGGAGGACAAATTCAATCACATGATTATATTGAATATTTGCCAACTGTAGATTGTAAGACAAAATTCGATGTCTATTTACTCTATTCCATGCGACCAAAAAATTCATCAAAAGCGTATTCAGTACAAATTCATGCATTTAACAAAATAACGATGTCGTATCGAGCAAGTTGGATTTACCCAATACAATTTCCATTTTTACCTGTATATCGTCTATCTGTTCAACTTATTATTCCTTTTTCGAATGCTATTCCCTTAAAAAGTTTTGCATTAAAATGCAATCATGGTCAATGTTACAATTATGTTAATAATCAAAGTTTGACATACTGTCTATGTCAACCAGGTTGGTCAGGTGTTGAATGTACAAAACAATATAAATGTGAATGTGCACCAACTTCAATATGTTTCGATCAATCGATATGTGTATGTCCTCTTAATCGATATGGCCCTCGATGTTATTTTCATCATTACTCATGTCATTCAGAAACATGTATGAATGGCGGTCAATGCATCCCTGGCGATGAACGACGCAGAGCCTCTCGCATGAATCGTCCAAGGTGTATTTGTACACCTGAATATTTCGGAAATCAATGTCAAAATCGACGACGAGAGAAACCGACTGAACTTCATATATCTTTCGATAAGAAAATAGCTATTCCAGCATCATTATTTATCCATTTTATCACAATAGACCATTTAGAGAACCCTGTTCAAAACAGTACAGTAAAAAAGATTGGTTTCGATCAAAATTCACTTTCAATGAAAACTTCAGTTATATTTCATATAGCTTTTGCTGATATATCTAAGACGTATTATCTTCTTGTTCTTCAATCGCAAGCTGTTATTTCATCTAATATTAGTACAAAAATCGTTCCATCACATCGATGCGCCTCAATATTTGAATTATTCAATGAAAGTATTAGTAACCAACCCTTGATAAAACGAATAAAATATTATCATATTCCATGTCAACAACGTCACGATCTAGTTTGTTTTTATGATTCTACTCAAATTTGTTTATGTGATCTTTCTCATCAAGCCAATTGTTTCGATTTTGATCATAATGTCATAGGTGACTGTAAGAAACATAATTTATGTGAAAATGATGGTCATTGTTTTTTGGATGATATGGAATGTCCAACATCATTTCTATGCGCTTGTCCTGATTGTTATTATGGAACAGTTTGCCAGTTTTCAACAAAACAATTATCTCTCACATTAGATGCAATATTGGGTTATCGAATTCTTCCTCATCTTACATTTAGTCAACAACCATTTGTTGTCAAAATTGCAATGATAACTACTATTATTATATTCTGCTTAGGAATTCTTAGCAGTTTCTTTTCATTTTTAACATTTCGAACGCAGAAAACCCGTGATGTCGGCTGTGGTTTGTATCTTTATGCATCATCAATTACATCAATGATTACATTATGTGTATTTTTAATGAAATTCTCGTTTCTTGTTGCATTTCAAATGAAAATCATTCGTAAAGATATTATATCACATGTTCAATGTCGTATTCTTGATTTTCTTCTTCGATTTTTATTGAGTAATTTTGATTGGTTGAATGGTTGTGTTGCTGTCGAACGAGCTCTAAATGTTTCTAAGGGCATTACTTTTGATAAAGCAAAAAGCAAAAGGATTGCTAAACGAATGATTTTCATCGTTTTATTTGTAACATTTCTAACACATATTCATGATGTTATTCATCGTCAACTGGTAGATGATGAAGAAGCAGAACGCACATTATGTATTACGAAATATTCGTCATTATTAAAAATCTTTGACAATATTATTACAATATTTCATTTTTCTTTTCCATTCTTCATTAATTTCTTTTCCACAGTGTTTCTTATTATTCGTGCAACTCGTATTCGTTCAAATGCAAAGAAAGATGAAACATTCAAAAGACTTTTACGTGAACAATTTCTGCATCATAAACATGTCCTTATTTCAACAACTCTTCTCGTTCTATTAGCGTCTCCACGTATAATTATATCATTTACATCAGGATGTATGAAATCTGCGAGAGATGCTTGGTTTTATTTAATTGGGTACTTTATTTCATTTATTCCATCAATGTTATTTTTGATTATATTTATTCTGCCATCAAAATTGTATACAGCTGAATTTAACAAGATTCGAAAAGAACTTTGCAAACGACACAATTAGGAAATATTTTGACCTCTTATTCCCCTAATAAAAAGCTTACGTTTAAAAAAAGAGCATAAAAAATGAGTACACTAACATGTCCATCCCACCACTTTTTTAACGAGACAGTATTTCTAATAGTAGAGTGTGCAGAATATCTGCGTTTTTCAGACATATTCTCCTTCTATTCACACGTTGAAGTTTATCAACACAATATCACTCGACGGAACGATAGTAGCACTTCTATAGACTGACCCGGATCTTCTCTTCAATTGGTGGTGTGATTATGATATAATAATTGAAGGGCAGTTCAGATGGGAAAAACCTATAATTGTTTTGTCTTGGTTCATCAAGTTCTTACCATGGGTCCGCTGCACTTTGCCGACAAAAATTTTATAAGAATACAACTACCAAAAACAGTTTTGAAATTTAACGATTTAGTAGCATAATTCATAGTTATATTCTTTTTTTAGTTATATACATACATATATGTATATACGACATCTTTGATAGACATGCATCGTTTCTTTCTTTTTTTCTTCATCACATGTGATGTTTTCCAAATGCTTTTTTCAAACCTNTAGTAGCATAATTCATAGTTATATTCTTTTTTTACTTATATACATACATATATGTGTATACGACATCTTTGATAGACATGCATCGTTTCTTTCTTTTTTTCTTCATCACATGTGATGTTTTCCAAATGCTTTTTTCAAACCTTGTTTTCGATTATGAATTTGATCAAGATGGATATTTCCGGACGTAACAAGATCAACAAGTCACTGGTACTACATATTATCCTAGACAAATATTTAGTTCATACAGACTCACTAGAATACTAAAGAATAAACATGACTCATAGAGAGTGCATGGTGTAAGAAACATGTGATGAACATATGAGATGACGTCATGTGTATATGTAGAACAAAAGAACACACAGGATGACATCATGAAATGTCTTAAGGAATATTCCATAACAGAGATACTCTTCGGAATATTCCACTTCTTTTGCTTATATATATAGTGAATATTTTTCCGAGATAAAATTAGACGCTCGTTTGAGATCAGTTAAAACAAGTATCCCGTGAATATTGTGTTATCGGTGAAATAAATAGCAATTCAAGCATGGCTTCAAGTGAAAATGTTGGAAATGATTCAAGCCGCTACGCTGAATTGATTAAATCTACGAAAAATAGCCTAAAAATAAGCATCTATGGATTCTTGTATGTCAAAGATAAGAATCGGAATGATTCGTATTACTGGGTTTGCGAACGCAAGGGGCAAAAAGCAACGAAATGCACAGCGAGAGCTGTTACACTTTGTGTTGGAACCCAACACAAGATTGAAAAATTTGATGCTAATGAACACAATCATGCTGCCGAAGCAAGAAGATTCTCATCCTTGAAAGCATGTATTCAAATGAAAGAGCTTGCTCAAATTAGCAATGATTTACCTATACAGATCATTACTAATGTTATTGCCACATTACCGCAACACATACAACCATGTTTACCAAGAAAGAATGCATTAAGACAGCAAGCCAATAGAGCCAAACGGGTTTGTGTTGAAGAAGTTGAACCAAAAGCGTTGAATGATTTCATATTGCCGGATATGTATTGTATTACTTTAAAGAGTGTGCCTTTTGCGGAAGATATTTCGCTTGGAGAAGAAAGAATTTTGGTTTTTACAACAATGGAAAACCTTAAATGGTTACAAAATGCAAAATTTTGGATCATGGATGGAACATTTAAAACAGTTCCAACTTTGTTTCGCCAATTGTATACCATTCATGCACCAGCTGGTGGAAGTGTTAATTTTCAAATTGTTCCTCTTGTGTATGCACTCATGACTCTGAAAAGTGAAGAATTATATCAGAAGTTATTTGAAGTACTTAATGAATTGGCGAACGAAAATCAGCTGGAACTGAACCCAGAATATATTTTAACTGATTTTGAAAAAGGTGCCGTCAATGCAGTAAAATCAGAGTTTCCGAATGCTCAAATCAAAGGTTGCCATTTCCACCTAGGCCAATCAGTGTACAGACACGTTCAAAGTGCAGGACTCGCAAAAGCATATGGAGACGATGAAAATTTAAGTTTACTTATAAGATACATTCCAGCTTTGGCATTTTTGCATCCTGTAAAAATTCCTGAAGCGTTCGATGAAGTCAAAGATTCATTACCATCTGATGCTGAGCCAATCATTGAATGGTTTGAAGATAATTATGTACGTGGAAAGATAAAAAAGCTAATGAGAAATGGATCAATTCAAAGATATGAACCACTAGTCCCACCTGCCATGTGGTCTGTCTTTGATAATACCGAGTTTGCGTTTCCAAGGACCCAAAACAAAGTCGACGCTTGGCATAGACGATGGGAAATATTAATTCCACGATCTCATGTTGGTATTTTCACGATGATTAAGCAGATACAAAAAGAGCAAAGTATAGTGGAAATGGAAATTGAAAAGTCAATGCGTGGCGAACCAGCTCCAAAGAAACGCAAAGAAGATGAAGACAGGGAAATAAGAATAAAAAATGTGATTATTGATCGGGACAATAGAACAACTATGGATTTTCTTCGGGGTATTGCCCACAATCTTTCTTTGTAACTATTTATGACTTTTATTAAAAGAATTTTAAATATCCGAGAAAAGATAGAATTTTATAAGAATTAATAAAAACTGGTTATGCACCATGGTTATCTGTATGCATTGTGTTACTTTATCTACGCATCTACGCTCTATCTAACACGAAACTAGCTTACTCCGCGATTGTATTTGACGTCAGAAACCACGAGATTTAACATGCAAAGTGTACCTGTCGGCAAAACGGCGTCGGCAGAGTGTAGCGGACCCTTGCCGACAGGTGCACTTTGTATGTTAAATCTCGCGGTTTCTATAAAGTCTAACACTGTCACGTCTTGAAGTGTGTACAAGTTTATTTGGAAATAAACGGAAAACTGAGCCGAATAACATAGAAAGAACTGTGACTATGTATATGACTAGAGATGGGAGATATCCTGTGAATATTCTATATGGACTATGACTACATGGAATATTCTGTTAGGATATTTCCAAAAGAAGACAAGGCATCTATAGGAGGGAGATGTCCCATTCCATGAGTCATGAACCATGCTATCACTATATCACAAACACCATTACGGACTGAACTGGTCTTCTGTTAGAAAGAGTATAAGCATATAGAGAAAGAAGGACAATGAACAGATAAGCATAGTATGTAATCAGTTTTTATTGATTCTTATAAAATTCTACCTTTTCTGGGATTTTTCAAATTCTTTTGATAAAAATTATAAATAGTTATAATGAAAGATTGTGGATAATGCCCCGAAGAAAATCTATAGTTGATCTGTTATCCCGACCATTAATAACAAGACAAAATAACGCTCGTCGAGGGAGAATCGCATTACCCTCGACTGATTGGGTTATACTTTAGATAAAACTTGCGCTTCCAAATGATGTCTCGAGAACGGTCCTCGCCAATTTCAACCTTTTTCAAAACTAGCTAAAGAACTGTCATCGTTCTTGTTATTTATGTAATGTCCATTATTCATGATCATTTTTCACACATGAAACAGCAGTCCGCTATGAATAGCTACTATGATCCTTGCGTCTTTTAGTAATGCGAAACT